CACAGGGTGCGGCCTGCACCAGGCCCCATGCAGGAGCCCCCAGAGATTCCAGGCAGCGGCTCCTTTCCTCAGCCCCGGCCTGGCCTCTGTGGGATCTGCAGCTTTCATCACTTCTGAGTGGACGCTCTAGGGAGCGCCCCTGGTCCTCAGACCCAGAGATGCCCATGGCTAGGCTGAGGAGGCAGGACCAGGAGGACAAGGGACCACAGCTATCTCTGCTGCCACACCGCCCTCCAGGGGCACTCGATTGAGTGATGTTAAAGTGGGCGCGACAGGGGAGGAGTTCTGAGTCTGTCAGGAGGAGGCCAAGGGTCCCTAATAAGTTTCAGTGCCATTAGTGACCCAGGTTCTCAGAGGTCCTCACCCAGCGGGGCATGGGAGGGCCCAGGCCGAGATGGCCGGGTTGCATCCTACCAACCCCCACCCTGCCATTTATTTATTATTATTATTATCATCATCATCATCTCAATGACTGGGAATCAGAGAGGTATGAGATAAAGTCACAACTCAGTTCTTGCTAAATGATAAAAGCCCAAGCGACAGAGTGACCCTGGACGGAGTGATATGGGTACCTCTTGGCAGAGGCTGGAGGCAGGAAAATCAATGACACCCCGGCCAGTAGGAGGACAGGGAGCAACCCATTCGAGCAGCACGGAGGGGATTGGCTGGTGGGCTCCGCTTGGTCATTAGAAAGCAGGGAAATCTCGGGATCTGTGGACAGCCTTGGGACACCGGGGTGAGACGTGCTGAGAAGTGGTTCATGCACACTGGCTTTCTAGTCCACCGTAATAACAATAAAAAGCCAATTTTTAAAAGCAGTGGGCGAAACTCATAGAACATAACATTTACTTTCTCAGGATGTAAAGCTGACCGGCCTTTAGTACATTCACAACCTGCAGCCACCACCCGTCTTGCCAGAACGGTTTCAGCCCCAGAGCAGTCTGTGCCCATCCAGCAGCCTCCCCGCTGCACCCTTGGTGACCTCTGTCTGGCCTGCTGTCCCTGCCCGCCCTGGACCATTTCATGTCAGTGGGGCTCTCACAGGGCCTGTCCTTCTGTGTCTGGCTTCTCTCTGAGCGTCATGTGTTTTGAGGGTCATCCGCTTTGGACAGAGCGCCACACTGCCGGAGTTTCCTTCCTTTTGTGGCTGAGTAAGTACTTCGCCGTCCAGGCAGAGCACATTTTACTCATGTCTCTTGTTAAACATCTGGCTGTTATGAATAATGCTCTCTGAACGTTTGTGCAAAAAAGTCCATTTCTCTTTTAACTTTGTAACAGGGGTTGACAAGAGCCTGGAAGAACGGATCGGCAAGAGGATTCTAGAGAGATAAATTTCCATTCTTGATAAGTTGTCATAAAGCACAAACAGGATGAGACAGTGAACACAACCCAATGCCCACTCATGAGGACCGTGGTACCCAGATACAAAGGCCTTTTTTTTTTTTTTTTTTCCTGCGTGTGGCGCAGAGACAGAAACTAGGACTTTCAGCAAGCCAGGCAAGTGCTCAATTGCGAAGCTACATTCTTACTCATTAAACATTTTTTTTTTTAAATTTTGAAACAGGATCTTATTGTGTTGCCCAGACTAGGCTCAAACTTGTGGTCTTCTTGATTCAGCCTCCCGAGTAAATAGGATTACAGGCATGCCCTACCATGTCATGGCTTTCAATAAAGTATTACTTGGGAAATTCTGACACCTGTTACAATATGGATGAACCTCAAGAACATTTACAATAAGTGAAATAAAACAGTCACGAAAGGACAAACACTGTGATTCTACTCACATAAGATCCCTTGTAGAGCTATGTAATGGGGCGCACTCCTATCATCCCAGCACTCAGGAGGCCGAGGCAGGAGGGTCACTGTGAGTTCCAGGCCAGCCTGGGCTACATAATGAGTTCAAGGCCAGTCTGAACTGCATAGCAAGACCCTGTCTCAAAAACAAAAACAAAAAATCCCTTGTAGAGAAGTCAAACTCGTAGTCACAAAGTGAAATAGTAGTTGCTCGAATGCGGAAGAGAAATCTCAGCCAGGTGGGCAGGAGAACCACGGAGAACCCTCTTGAATAGGAGCCCCTCCCTCGATCAGGCACTGCTATTATGACCCTTAGGGCTGAGTTAGGAGTGAGGGCATGGATTTCTAAGAACGCAGGCATGGCTGGGGTTCCTTCCTGAAGCTCAGAGCCCCATGGGAAGGGGCAGCAACCAGTCGGGGGTGGTGAGTGATAGATCCTTGGCCCGCACAAGGGCAGCTCCTAGTCACCCCTTTCCTGTCCACCTAGCCACACTAGATGACCACCAAAACAGGGACTTGGAGGGGCAGGGGTGTCTGATTTGTACCCTCATCTGTCCTTCCCTCTGTGCTGTGCTGAGGGCTGGTCTCAATGACAACTTCCAGCTGTGTCTAGGAATGGGGAGCCGGCGGGGCATGGGAGGGAGGGAGGGAAAGTATCACCCACTTTTCTCATGAAGAGGTCTATGCTGCTTCAGGTGGCCTCTGCCAGCTCTTCCATCTCTGGATTCTGGTGACCCTGTTTCCCTGTCATCCCAGGGCACTGATCCAGAGCACCAAGTGGCCTTTTACTAGGTATTCCTCCGACTGCTTAGTTTAGTGGCACCTGTTCCTGTGACAGGGGACAGAGCCTAAGAAACATGGGAGGTGAGGACACAGGGGAGTGAAGAGATGTGCCGATTCCAGGACCTGGGAACCCACAGTCTCCCTTGACTCCCATTCTTGGGGCCCAATCTGGTGAGAGGCAAGGGCGTCCCCCTCATCAGCACCCCATCATCTTTGCCCAATGCCTACTAGCGCCCCCCTTCCCCCGTTTCTCCCCAGAACACCGGAAGGAGGGAGGACCTTCCTCGGGAACCTGCCAGGGACTTCGGTATTGCTCCTGGGAGGAGTCACTGCCACTGAGGCCCTCAGCGCAGCCTTGTTTGCCCCGCCCCGCGCCCCATGAGCCTTGGTTTACATCACTGTGGGGAGAATACCCCCCACCCACACACCTGTGGCGGCCGCTTGGCCATCACCCTCCTTTCCCGGTCCGTACCCCGCCCTACCGGGCAAACAGATACCTCCTGTCCCGTCTCTGTCCCTGCCTACAGGCCGGATTTCCTGAGCAAGGTCACCCTGGGAGTCGCTGGAGCCCAGAGCCCAATAAAACCCATCGATGCGGACAGAGAGCCCATAAAGCGGTCACTGCTCTCCCCTCCCCACGCCTACACACAGCGGAGTGGCTGGCCTGTGGCCCCTGCAGGTTCCCTGAGGCTCTCATCCCCTACAGCCCCTCAGCCCCAGTGGTTGTGACTGTGGGAACCCTGAGACCTGTGACAGGTTCGAGAGCACACTAGGACCCCCCCACGGCTTTCCAGAGCCCGTACTGCCCCTGGACAGCCCTGTTCGTCTTTGATACAGGTGCCCATGGGGTGTCCAGATCCTTGTCCCCTACCATGCGTCCCCTAGCTATCCACATTGGCCACACCCGGTCCCAGGACCTATGGGATGCATAGAACCCCTCAGAATATCCCGCAGGCTCCTTGGCCTCCACCACCGGACCTGTGGTCTTGTCCTCTTATGTGCCCCAGCCAGGAGCCAGCCTGGGCTGCTTCCCCTATCACACCAGTGACAATGACTCTGGCTCTTCAGTACCATTGGTCCTCCACACCCCGCCCAGGGCCAGGCCGCTTGCCTGTCCTGGAGGAAACTTCTGGCATCCAGCCTCTCCCTCTTCCAATTTCTCCTCTCCTCCCACAACCTGCAGCAGAGCCCCGGGGGACAGGGACGGGGACTGGCTACTCCTCTCTATCCCTAGTCCCCTCCCCACATCACCAGGGCAGAGCCCACACAATGCACTCCTTGGCTTGAGCCTTCACCCACACTGTCTGCTCCGCCTAGAACGTGCTTCCGGCTCAGCTCAGGGATCCACAACCAACCCTGTGTGGGTACCGCAGGTGCACTTTCCAGGGGGACACACATCCCAGGGGTCTGCTGGGCCCAGGAGCCACAGGTAGGAAGAGGTGATCGGGGCTCTACTCTTGGGGGCACCAATGGGAGCTTACTGACCCCCGGGGGCCAACATGGCAGAAACCAGAAGGGAGGACAGGAAGGGAATGGTGTGCAACGGACCAGAGTGAGGCCACAAGCAGAGGCCAGCAAAGGAATTACGGGCAGCTTGGGGTCCACACTGGCTTTGTGGGGCTTGAGACTAGTGCGTGGGGCAAAAGGAAACAAGTCCCTGCATCGGGCTGATACTGCAGGGCTTCCGCCTGGACAAGGTAGGGGGCAGGGTGCCCAGGGTGCAGAGAGCTCCCAGAAGGACCAAGGTCCACTGAGAAGCATATTTCGGCTGATGTCAGTCACTGTGTGGGCAACCTCAGTCTCCACTCCGTGTCCCCCACAGAAGATACTTCGGACAGCTATACGCCGTGGCCTCAGGCTGGTGGAACCTGGGGCGGGGGGCTCGATGTCAAATCAGTCAGGAGAAGGTGATCTGAGCAGAGATCTCTAAGCCATCTGCTTGCTGCTGTTACTTATTCGGAGCAGATGCTCTTTGCATCCAAGTCCCGGGGAGGATGACAAGCCTTGGATTCCTCCCTGGGCACTTCCCTCCTTGGGATGCCGGCCCCAGTGTGTAGAGGTGGGTTTTGTTTCCAGCTAACCGGTGACTTGGGCACAGAGTTCTGGCAACCCACACGAAGACCCTCATCCCTTCTCTGGAGCTGCTGCTGAGCCCAGGAAACCAAGCAGGGCCGGACCCAGTCAGAACCCTGACAACACCACCTTTTAGAGAACTCTGTTTAAAACACCTGCCTCACTGTTTAGCCGCCCTGCTCCCCACTTACAGCTGGGTCTGTCTACCCCTACACCACCTACTTTGTCAGGGTTTAGCTTGCTGGGGCCAGGGCAGCCTTATACCTACAAAATGCTCTGGTTTGTGCCGACTTTGCTCAGTTATAGGGACAATATTTGCTTTGGGAAAGAATCAAACATTTATTCTCTAATTTATTCAGGGAGCAGGTTGTCAAACACAAGCGCCTTTGGTTCGCAGAACATGTTCCAGGATCGGCCGTCTGGGTGTCACACTGGAGACTCAGCAGCACTGGCTTGGCTTTACCCTGCCCTGTCCCCTGCATCTTCCTGGGGTGGGGGAGCGGGGCTGGGCAGTGTCAGGTAGGGCTGTCCCAGAGCAGAGGACTGTGGAGCCGATTCCTCTTTCCAGCCACAGACAGAAGTCAAGGTATCCTGGGGGCCCAGCAAGGTGGTGGCACAGGGATTCACTCCTGGCCTTGGTAGGAGAGAAGTTGTCCTGGGCTAAGAACAGTCCCGGGGGGTGGATTCTCAGGGCCCATACCTGCTGGCATTGCATCCATCCACACAGTACCTTCCTCCCAGGCTGCTATTTATGCTGGAAGGCAGAGCTCTCCCAACCCCCACCTGTCTGCTTGTCCTGCTCCTTCTCCAGGCCAGAGCTCCTGACTGACCCAGCAGGGTCCTCACAGCCTTCAAACATTGACCTCCAGCAGGGCTCTTAACCCCAGCTTGCCTTGCTGGCACCTGGACAGAACTCATCCCCAGGTTGGCCATCTCCATGCCTGCCCTGTCCACAGTTCCCACCGCCGGGCCACGTGGACAGGAGGGTAGGGCCCTAAAGACAGTGTTCCCTCTGGGAACCACAGGGAATACCGGTGCTGCACCTGCTGCCCCAATGTCCACATAGTCTCAGGGCCAGTGAGGACCTGGGGCTGTTGCCTGGCCCCTGGGATCTCCAGGGAATGGAGGCCAGAGCAGAGTGCATTCGAGTCTTTCATTTCTCAAGAGTAGCACTTGGCGCCTGACCAGGTGACACAGAGCTCCCATGACGAAGGGCACATGCAGCAAGGCCTCATACCGATGGTCAGGAAGTGTACCTCTGCTGGCTCCCACGGCCTGCAGGCTGAGATAGGCTAGGCTAGGACAGGAGCAGAAGATGCCAGACACTTCTGGGGACATAGCTGACTCCCCCAAGGCTCCAGAACCAGTCCACATAGAGAGAGGGGCTGGTGGAATGACAGGCTCACTGCAGGATTCCACCCATGGCTGTGCCCCAGGCAGCTCCTTTCTTTATGCCGCTGCTAAAGAGTTCCTGAGGTGCAGCCCAGGGATAGGCGCCTCAGCACACCCTCCCACCAGGAAGATAGCACTGGGCGGTCCCTGAAAGACCCAGGCAGCTCTCATAGCCGGCTGGTCTGCATGTGCCCGTTTGTCTGGCAGCTGCGTGTAGGAGGCAGCGTGACCTCCTGCAGCCGGCCACTCTTGTCCGGCCGTGGTTCCGTGGCGTCAGCGTCCTCCATCCCGTAGCTCCCACGGACGCACAGAACCTTGCGGAAGCTCTGGCGGAAGTTGTCAGAGAGGAAACCGTAAAGCAGCGGGTTGGCACAGCTGTTGGCATAGGACAGGACCACTACGAAGAAGTAGAGGCCAGCAGAGGCAGGCTCCTCCGGCAGCGTGAAGGCCAGGTTGACAATGTTGACGATGAAGAAGGGCAGCCAGCAGCCCACAAAGACCAGCACCACAACTACCACCATGCGGGTTACCCTGCGCTCGGATCGCCGGCCTCTCGAGGACCCTGCGCGCATGCCTGCAGCCTTCACTTTCACTACAATGAGCAGGTAACAGAGGCAGATGACCAGCAGCGGCCCGAAGAAACCCAACACAGACGTGTAGGTGATGAAGGCCGCACTCCACAGCCCTGCAGGCTCTGGCCAGCTGAGGTTGCAGGTGCCCCAGCCCTCCTGCACGTCCGAGAAGACCAGCAGTGGCAGGGACATGAGCAGCGAGAAGGCCCAGACAGCGGCGCTGGTCAGCTTGGCCACTCGTGGGCGGCGCCAGCGGGCAGAGCGGAGCGGGTGGACCACAGCCAGGTAGCGGTCGATGCTCATGACGGTCAGGCAGAAGATGCTAGTGAACTGGTTGATGCCATCCAGCGTCATGACCAGACGGCACAGGAAGGGGCCGAAGGGCCAGTAGGACACAGCGTTCTGTGTGGCCAGGAAGGGCAGGCCCAGCATGAGCAGCACATCCGCCACGGCCAGGTTGAGGATATACACGTTGGTGACCGTCTTCATCTTTGCGTGTCTCAGCACCACGTAGATGACCAGCCCATTGCCACCCAGCCCCACAGTGCACACCAGCAGGTACAGCAAGGGCACCAGGATGGCCCGGGCCCCTGCTGATGGTGCTGCCCCTACGGGAGTCCCATTGTGGCTGTCTCCGGGGCTGGCAGCCGAGGTGTTCCAGCTGGGTGTGAAGGAAGGGTACAGAGGCTCCATGGAGGCCACCTGCATGTGTGTGTCTCTGTAAGAGAAGGGAGAACCAGTGAGTTAGACGCATCCGGCATTCCTTCCTCCGGGCCCATCCTCAGCTCCGCCTGCCCGACGGCGGTAGGTAAACACGATTAGTCATGTTCAACTCAGCCGGGAATCACATTAAGCAAATTGTTTGGAAAAGAAGCCCAGAGAGGAAGAAGCAGCCACCGTGGGGACATCAGGGCAGGCGGCTGGTGAACTGAGACCAACATCTGCTGATACCTCTGTGGCTGCCCTGTGAGCTGTACTCCACGGCTCCCCCAAGACAGCACTGCAGGAGTGCAAGCCCTGCCTAGCAGTTTCTACTTCCCAGGGCTCCAGAGCACACGTCTGGCCTATGGAGAGACAGGGCTGCAGAGAGCTCGCACAGCCAGTAGACACCCCCAGGACATGGCCTGACCTCCAGCTCCTTTGGGGCCTGGGCCTTCCTTCCACAGGAGGCTCTGCCATGGCCCACCAGGCCCCAGGGAACACCATTTCCTGTGAGCATATCCACCCCCAAGCAGAGCTGTTCCGAGTCCACGCCGCAGTGATCACCCCAAAGGTCCAGCGCCCAACAGTGGCTGGTCAACCTGTCTAGACAGGGCTGTCATGACTCGGGAAACAACCTGAAAGGTGTTGCTATCACAGCCTTGAGGGACACATGGGGGCAGCAGCTCCTCCGAGGCCGGCCTGACTAGGATGAGGTTCACTCCCTCCCCAGCAATGATTTCTTTTGCCCCAGGCAGTGACATAACAAGGAACGAGGCGAATGCTTACTGTCTTGTACAGCACAGTAGCCATGAACAAATGAACACAAGATGCACAGAACAGTGACAGCCAAGGAAACCCACAGGGCAGAGGCTTGGCCTGGGGGCTTTACAACAAGCAGCCTAACCCGAAGGCAGTGGGGCCGGCATGGGGGCTTTGGGGACAGACACTGAGACAGGTAAAGAGGATGCTGGCATCTGTTGGATCAGGTGACAGATAAACACTCTTGTTACAGCATCTTGTGTTTCCCTGTGCGTTTGAAATCTTTCATTAAAAACGATAAAGAAGGGATTTAGCTCAGTGGCAACACGCCTGCCTTGCAAGTACAAGGTGCTGAGTTCAATCCCTGGTACCGAGGGGAAAAACAAAAACAGAAAAACAATGAAAAAGAAAATAACTTCTCCCCTGATGAAGAGGGCACTGGGAAGGGCTAGGGCTGGTACCTTGCTGAATGCCACTGAAGCAGACAGCAAGGAATCCAAGCACACGAAGAACCCAGACAAGGGACAGGTCCATGCAGGGACGGGAGTCCTCTGGTCTGAGCCAAGGCCACTACACCGTGCTACCCCGGAGCTCTGGACTTGTTCACTGACCCATGGTGACCAGTGCAGACAGAGGATGCCCATGGCTTCTGGGGAACTCATCCCGGGAACACCAGGGTGCTGAGTGGAGGCAGCCAAGATCTAGAAGACAGGGAAAAAGGCCGGGAGAACCCAGAACAGCTACTGTGACTTAACTGATAAGCTTAGAACATACTCTGATGTATTCAGGACCCTCAAGAAAGGCATGGATGAAATATGAGATAATTTGGCCTTTTACAAAGGAAAAGTAACAGGCATCTGTTTCTAAAATTCACAGATTTGGGGCACACAAAAAAATAGTCATTCAAACAAACTAATAACAACAAAACAAAACATAAACCCACAAAAGTCAAGACTGACTCCAGCCTGGAGAATACTGAAGAGAACTAGAAGAAGGCGAAGCGAACACAGCACGTGGTCAGGGAGGAGAAGCAGGGCCAGAGGGGTGGGGCCCCTGAGGCACCACTGAGTCCTATCCTGAGCAGAATAGAGTCAGGGGAAAGCAGCACTATCACAGCTGCCAGGCTTCAGGAAAAAGGGGACATCCTGATGAAAAACCAAAGAGGTGAAGGGTTGGCGCCAGCCTGAGAGACAAGCATCACCCTGGAGTCCTACTTGAGGAAAGGAAAGCACACTCTCTGTTTTGCTGGATTTGTGCCCGAGTGCCAAGTGTACTGACCGGTGTGCTGTGATCCTCTGTGAAGCGTGTGACAAAATCCTATTTAATAAAAAGGGGAAGTACCAGACTGGAATGACTGCATTTTATGATTTTGCCCAGGAGTCCTTCGGGCAAACCTCTGGTCTGAAGAGTAACTCTGGGTTGGGGGAGAGGCCAGGTCAGTGGGGGCCCATGTCTGTACCTGGCCTGGAGCGAACCTTTCCTAGGAGCCTTGACACTGGACGTTGGCCTCAGAAGGGAAGCCTGTTTCTGTGGGAAGCCTCTGTAGCATGGATTCTAGCAGGGGTGTGGTCTGGGGATGTGGCGGGCATGTAAGAATCTAGGAGACCAGGATGCACAAGCCAGTTGCAGAGGCCTGCAGGTCACCCCTCCCCAAAATACCAAGGAGGGACCTCTGGCCCAAGCCCTGTGGGACCCAATGGGGACTGGGTAGAGACAATGGAGGAGCCCCTAAAGGGGAGCTGTCTATCCCCAGGAGGGCAGAGGGCCGGTGGGGCTCAGATCCTGGCTAGCACAAGCCCTGGGCTTTCTGAGCAGCAGCTCCTGAATGCATATTTGATCTTAAATCAAACAAATTCCCATCTTTTATGGGAGCTCTCAGCTGCTCAGCATTCCTGAGGCCACCCAGACCCTGAGAGGGGCTCTGAAGGTGGCCGGGTCACTGCTCTGCTGTCTCTATAAACACTCCAACTCCCCAGGTACACTTCAGAGCAGGAAAGAACAAAATAGGCCCATTGCACTCTGCCTGCCTCTTATAATTCTGCAGGAGCCATTATTTGGAAGCAGCAATCTTTGTTACAAAAATTACACGCTCATGGGAAAATTGCCCTGGGGACCATTCAACTGTGGGGGAGAGAAGTGAGAAAGGAGCCAAAATGGGCCTTGGGCCCCAGACAGCCGCTCCAGGAAAGGACCTGCTCGGGAGCCTCCCAGCAGGGCACTGGGCAGGCCCACGCCCACGCCCACTCCAGCTTTCTGTCCACACTAGCCTGTGATCTCAGGGAAGCTACCAAGCTTCCAGGCCCCGGCTTCGGTGTCATGAAGTCCTACAGACTGAAGTTGCTGAAGAGATGAAAGGAGCCAAAGCGTGCAAGCATGCTGTGCAGAATGCCCGGAGCTGTCATAGCTCTCACAGTCTGTCCTGAACAGCCCGCATCTCCTCCGAGCATCAGGAAACGCATCTCCCTGGACCACGGGGGAGAAGAAGGTGTGTGTAGGGGCATACTTCACAGGAGCCTGGGGACAGAAGCGGACCTCAGCACCAGAATCCCCCCTGGCTGGTGGCCAGAAGCCGGGCACCTCAAGACCCCTCCCAGGCCGGGCCAGTCCTGGCAAAGGTCAGTAGCAGCTGAGAGAGATGCTCAGGGCACTCCTGGGCCCACTCACCTGGAGGCTGTGGACACCTGGTGCTCCTCCTATGCTGGGTGGAGCCAACAGCGTGTCAGCCACCCCAGGATGAGTCTTCTGAGCTCTGCTTCTGCCTTTGAGAAAAGTGGGCTGGAGGCAGCTCTGCTTTGGTTCCCTCACCCCTCTGTCCTTAAGGCAGCCTGGGTGGGGGCTGGCCCAGGGCAGGAGCAGGGAAGTCAGCACTGCACAGCCTCCTCAGGGCTCAGCAGGTCTGCAAGACCACCTCCTGCCCCAGCACACTTCTTTGGAAATGTCAGCTTTATGGGGAAGCCCTGCAGGGGCACGGTCGCTGCTCCTCTCACCACCTATGCCGGAAGGAGGCTCTGGGCCTCCCTACCCCCGCCCCACCTCTTTCTCCCAGCTTCAAAGGTCTCACTTTGGGCTCCTGTCCTCCCCTTTCTGCCCCAGAGGGCACCTGACAGCCCGCAGGTCCCCGGTGGGTGGATTCCTGCGGAGGGGTGGGTACGCTGAAGTTCAGGCATGACCCGGGGCACAAATGCCGAGCCATGGGTGCCCTGGGCCCGGAGAGCACAGTGCTGCCCGCATGCGACTCCCCGACCGCTCCCTTCGCCGGTCCAGTGGTCTTGCAACTCCACGCACGTTTCCCACACCCCCAACCTCGGGATCCGCTCCCGGAGTCCCAGAGCACGTCCGCCGTGGGAAGGAAGGCCCGGTGGGCGGAGAGGGCCGTCCCGTTCCTCCGCGGCAGCTGCCCGCCCCGGCACACGGGGCGTACTCCGGGTCGCAGAGACCCGCAGACTGGGATCGGAAGGGTTGAGGAGTGCGGTTGTTGAGGCTAGGAGCGGACACCGACGCGAGGGGGCACTGGACCACGGCAGGTGAGCCCCGCGGGGACCCA